TCATTCCTCTTGTATTTGGCCAGTGGGAAAATATTGACTTTTTAACCCAGGGACCATTTTTTTTTTCTTTCTCTCTCTTCCAGTGGAACTCTCATCAACATAGCAGAATTTCTCATTCAATAGTTCAAGGTGATTGCTTCAACCCTGAATTTCCTATGATGAATAATAAAATCCCCTGTTGCTCTGAAAAAAAAAAAAGTTATTCTGCTTAGTTAATGAGTCCAAAGTCAAATTTCTTGTGAGACTCCAGGGACTCCTTGGTATTGAGTCAGCTCCCTGACTCAATCTGCCAACCCATTGGCTCTCTAAACTCAGCTGTGTTCCTCTGATTGGCTATACTGGAGGACACTTTCTTCGGATAATGCTAACAGCAAAATATCAATCACAGTAGAAATTAAGCAGACAAATGATTGTATGAGCAAGATTAAGAAATATGAGAGAAATTGTTCAAATATTTGAGTGTTTTATGATGTTTCTCAAGCAGAAATTAGAAAAATCTTCTGAAGATTTGTTTCCAAGGGCTTTTGGAGCCTGGGTAAATATACATCTTTTTTCTCGTCTAGCTTCCTAGATTGAAAACTATTCCTAACTCAAAGTTGAGCAGTTGTGGTACCTCCTTTCTTGATGGGAATCACCTGAACTGTGTTCATTTATTTACTGTCAACTCCAAGATACAGCCAAGAGCATAATAATATCCTCCCTAAATTCTCTGATTTTTAATCTCTTTTCATCAGCTCCTTGAGTTCCTTTTTTCTCTCTTCCCTCTCTTCATGGCTTTCTAACATACTTATTTTATTTCTGATTCCTCTCATTTCACTTTTGGTTTTACAGCCTTGGAGCTTTTCTGCAATTCTACCTCAACCAGGTTGAATAGTTTACATCTTTTCCCTAAGATGTTATGGTTGGCTTCTCAGATGTGCCTCTCTTCCTCTTCTTTTGGGATACTGAGCATTAAAATAAATTGAAAACTGAGTTTATTAAAGCTCCGATTCTATGTAAACTATCCAATTAAATTCTCACAACACTGTAAAGTGGGTGTTGTTATCCCCATGATGTAGTTGAGAAATTTGAAATTAAAAGTTGAAATATCACTTTAAAACTCAGCCAGAAAATAGCAGATCTGGAATAGAACTCCACATATGGGTGTCTACAAGGAGCTCTGTTATATCTCTGTTGCTTCTCCTTGCCCTTTGGCATGGAGCCTGCATTTCATTAGGGTCTGGAAAGGTTAGGGGAGCTAAGATTTACCGACGGAGTAGGTAAGGACACAAGTACAGATTTCTGATCGTTGTAGATCAAAATCTCCTTTATACCCTGAACTCTAGAGAGTTGCTTTTTTTTGGGGGGGGGCAGTTAAAAAAGACCACAAAGTTTATATCAGATAATTTGTAGATTTATTTTGTTCAAGATAATGAACAAAATAAGATTATGAGTTATCAGTATTAATATCAAACTATAAAATAGTATTTTTAAGAAATGCCATGGAGGCAGGAGGATTGCCTGAGCCCAGGGGTTTGAGAACAGCCTGGGCAACTTGGCGAGACCTCATCTCTACAATAAATCAAAAAAATTAGCTGAGCATGGTGGTACTTACCTGTGGATCCAGCTACTTGAAGGCTAAGATAGAAGGATCACCTGAGCCCAGCAGGTGGCTATGAGCATGCCACTGCATACCAACTTGGGTGACAGTGAGACTCTGACTCAAAAAAGAAAAGAAAGAAAGAAAGGAAGGAAGGAAAGAAGGAAGGAAGAAAGAAAGAAAGAAATGCCTATATTGTAATAAGAAATATATTTGGTGGGTCTTGTTTTTATAAGTGAAACTCTTGCCTCCCTGTCTTCTGTCTTCATATGCATTTATGCAGCCAAGAAGGAAAGTCAAAAGTGACTATACAGCATATAGCACGTTTGCATTAATAGACTTGTAATTCCTTCATCATAGAAGATGAATTATTGTTACCACAAATATATTCATTGCTGACAATATGCATACCATGATTTCCAATGTCAACATAGCACAATAAACAAAGGAAACCCAAAGCAATAGGATATTTCTTTCTCTCTCTCTGTCTCACACACACACGATTGAAATACTGTAAAACTCCATTTTGATCTATGTTTGTGTAGCACTTCCACAATCATTTGTTTATACATTTCTAGTTAACATTTTCCTGTATTCTGTGAATCTATACTTAAAAATTAAAGCTATTTATCAATTTGAAAGTCATCAATAAATCCAAGTAGTTTAGAAATTGGAGACATATTTTTCATTTCTGTTCTTTTCAAAATTTTTTAATTTTTTAATTAATTAATTTATTATTATAAAGATGTGGGGTACAATTCAGGGCTAGGTATACAAACATTGGTCATGCAGGTACCCTTGTTAATGAGGCATGCCTCTCCCTCTACTAGCAGCTTCCTCTAACTGCCAGTCCCACCCCATTTCTGTTCTTGACCTTAATTGCCTTTATTGGACTATTTTGATTGTGTGACTGATGTTAACACAATCTTAGCCCTCTGTTGCTTCAATTGTAGGGATTTTGAAGTGTGATCCTCACTTTTTTTGGTCACTTTACCTAATATGTATTTTCCATACATTGGCCAAATTCTGTACATTGTTTATTCTGGTTTCTCACAGAGGTAAAAACTCGTATCTTTTACTTAACAAAGATAAGGCCCAAACTTTACCTGTATGATGACCACTTATGTACCTAATCCTGAATTGTACCCCACATCTTTAAAATAAAAAAAGAAAAGCATATAGACAGTTATTTAAATTATACTTTTGAATACATAATTCATATAGTTGGAGAGTGTGTTGATGAAGGTAAAGGGAGTATATTTTAAGTAAGCATAGTGTTTTACTATCAAGTTTACATGATAAGTATTCATGTTTTCCACTCTCACATTCTGAACAACTCCTGTGGGCTTGTTGTTATGCTTAGTGCCTTTGTTTGCCTCTGAAATGAATAGTTCTCAGGGAGATTTTTCTGTGGGCAGGAGCCAATCAATTTCCCCAACATATCTAAAAGCAAACCTTTTGTTACATCTCCAGAATTGTTTATTTTAAAGTTTGAAATAGAGATTGCTTAAATCAATAATGGTGATATTTCAGGCTTCAGACACAGTAAAAATGGAAGTTTTAGTTTAATTTTAAAGATATTTTTCTGAAAAATTTCTGAATAACCTTAAGGAAGAAACCTGGTACATACCAGTAGTCACTTGATTACAAAAGCATTGACTTTTGTTGTACTAGTAGTTTCTACACAAGGATTTACCTTGGTCTAAGGTTGGGATTATTTGTACAGTTCATGGAATCTCTAGAGCTAGTCAGTTGGGCTATGTATGGAAGTAGCAAAAGGAAGGGGATTTTTCTTTTCATTGTTGCTGGCTCTAAAATCATACAACAGAGGCCTCACTTCTGGCCTTGGAAACCCATTGCCTGGGCTCTCCTCCATGTTGCTTTTCTCTCAGGGTGATTGGATGATCTCAGCTTGAGCCTTGAGAGTTCCCATGTAAATGTTGTAAATCTAATGAGTAAAAGAGTAAGATTTCTAGCAATGATCTCTTCTATTCTGTCCCCAAATAATGAAATAAATTTCCATGTATTGTTTACAATTTATCATTTTACATTGATAGTGTTGCATCCATCATAGTGTTAACTTTCAATATGATTTTCTACTTTTCTCTTAAAGCAGTATTCTTATCACTGACTTTACAAGCTGAGGATTTTTATTGTTTGCTGGATCTCTGAAAGTACTGTTGCCACAACCCAGTATGCTACCAACTGAGAATTCAGGTAATTGAGTTTTTTTCCTTACCAGGACTAGGGGGTTCAGTTATTCAGTTAACTAGTGATAAGATGGGCCTCTCAATTTTCACGGATGAACTAAATGAATTAGTGTTGAATTAAAAAGCCAGGTGGTAAGAATATCGAGCGGTTATCTTAGGGTTCAGGTGAAGTCTAGAATACTAGGCCAGTTTGGGAAAATATGTACTAGTTATAAAGTGTGAGAAGGTAGTTCAGGGAACCATGTGAAGCCTTAAAACCTGGCATATTGGCTTAGACAAGAGTAGTGACTACATATATTATTGGATTTTGGATGGGTGTGGTGTTTTTAAACAGAGCACTGCACTGTAACAGAGAACAGCTTCTCGTGACTGTGAGGTGGACAGAGAATTGCCTACAAAAGCCCAACTAATATTTTAGTATTACTGGGTATTGTGACCTAGGATACAAGTTTTTAAAAAATTCGTTTTTATTATATGGATATATTTTAAAATTAAACGATAATATGATGATATTAAATAAAATGGAAAATTTTTTAAACAAGAAAAATTCAAAACAATGTAATTCCCACTATCTCTAAATTTCTTGATGCCTTATTGTCTTCCTATTCTCTATTGATTTCCAAGCTTCACCTTGGCCCCTATTCCTATGATTGTGCACTTACTTTTATCATTATCAATACCTTTGTAATTTATTGTGGGCACATGAGCATGCTCACATACATACACATGCAAAATCAAACATCTTATTTACACTTATTGAAAAAAAATGAAAACCATTAAATAGAAATTCCCTTAATTTCCTAAACAAGGTCCAGCACTTTGGATCTTCCCCCCTATGTAGACTAGATAAAGTCCCTGCTGCTATCTAAATTCTTTTTGATTTAGATTGAATTCTTTCTCCATTTTTTCAAGGAATTCACTCTTGAAATTTCCTTCCCTCTTTCTCATTGGACACCCCCCTTAAATGCATCATTCTTAGCAGCCTACTAGCTCAAAACAAGATAACAAAATATAGTAACAGCTAATTTAGAATATCAATGGTATGATGATGATCAGGAAGTGTTCTTTTAAATCTCTAAATATGGATTTGGGGCAGTTATGAAAAGACATTTATGAGGAAGATGTAGGTGTTGGGGTAACTAAAGGCCACTAAAGGACTTTTGATGGATCCTGTTTCTTATATTCCAGAGAGAACACTTCTCTGTATGGGAATGAAAAACTACAGTGCCATCAGTGAGTTTGTTCTTCTTGGATTGTCTACTGACCCCTACATTCAGGCTATACTCTTTGTGCTGTTCCTTCTGATTTACCTCCTCTCCCTGACGGGGAATTTCTTGATGCTGCTGGTGATTAGGGCTGATTCTCATCTCCACACGCCCATGTACTTCTTCTTGAGACAATTGTCATTTCTGGACCTCTGTCACTCATCGGTCACAGTTCCCAAGATGTTAGAGACTCTACTTTCTGAAAGCAAAACCATCTTTGTAGAGAGTTGCTTGGCTCAGGCCTTTCTGGTATTTGCCACTGGTGGCACTGAGGCCTGTCTGCTGGCTGTAATGGCCTATGACCGCTATGCTGCCATCAGCTCCCCTCTGCTCTATGGCCAGGTGATGAGTAACCCGCTCTGTGTTGGGCTGGTGTGGGGCTCCTGGGGCCTGGCCTTTGTTGACGCTCTCATCAACATCCTCCTGGCTGCTGCCAATTTAAACTTTTGTGAGGGCCAAACGATTCCCCACTTCAGCTGTGAGCTGTCTTCTCTCTTCCCTCTGTCTTGCTCTGAGACCTCTGCCAACTTCACACTCCTGCTCTGCTCCTCTGTCTTGCATTTCTTTGGAACCTTCCTTATGATTGTTTCCTCCTATGCCCGCATTGTCTCCACCATCCTGAGCATCAGCTCCACCTCAGGCAGAAGCAAGGCCTTCTCCACCTGCTCTTCCCATCTTACTACTGTGATCTTGTTCTATGGCTCAGGTTTCATCAGTTATCTCTTGCCAACTTCAGGTTCCCCTATGAAAATGATCTTCTCCTTGCAGTACAGTGTGATCACACCCATGTTGAATCCCCTCATCTATAGCCTGAAGAACAAGGAGGTGAAGGCAGCTATGGGAAGAATGTTCAGAAAATATTTTCATCCTCTCATGTAGTAAACACAAAGTCAGGATGAAAGGAAGACTGAAATTTATGCTACATTCTCAGATAACAGACTTTAAGGAAAGTTTCTTGATTGCCCATAATATGAGATGTTGCAAGGAACATAGTAGCATTTACCTCCTTGGAAATGCTTGTTAAGTGGACAGAGAACTTATAGGAGGATAGAGGTTCAGTCTTATACAGAGAAGAAGAAATAACAAGATAACCCTTTTCAGGGGATCATTTTATAAAAATATTTAGTATTCATATCTACATGAATATCTATCACTATTGGTTGCTCATTACTGCTTCACACTTCCTATAATGACACCCCAAATCCTTATGAAAACAGATCCTCTTAAATTTATGTTGTCATCATGGGGGATGATCCTATAACCTAGGTTAGACTCACCATTCTTCCCCTTTCTCCTGCTACTGTATTTGGGCAAGAAATTAAACCAACACCCAAGTAAAGCTATGTGCTATCTTTCTGTGGAAAGTTTGAACACTGAGAAGGAACAAACAAAAAGTAAGCATTTCAAACAAAGTTAGCCTTATTGCAGTGCCTAAAGAAACCATGAACCTTGCTTTGTGGCAGTTGTCCTTCCGGGGTCATATTTTAAATAAAAACAACAATAATCGCAAATTTGTTACATTTCTTAACTTGTGTTTGGAAATGTATTAAGTTCTAGTGGTAGGAAGATACCCTACAAGTCCCTGGAACCTCTGAATATGTCATGTTACATGGCAAAAGGGATTGGACAAATGTAATTAAGATTATAGACCTTAAAACAGAAACTGTATCCTGGATTATCCATGTGGGCCCAGTCTCATCACATGAATCCTTAAAAGCAGTGAACCTTTTCCAGTTGTAGGCAGGAAAGATAAGGCAGAAGGAAAGGCCAGAGATAACACAAGCACAAGAAGGACTCTGCCCACCATGGTTGACTTTCGTCATGGAGAAGGCCATGAGCCAGGGATTGTGAGCGGCTTCTAGAACCTGAAACAGCATGTAGCCAACAGACAGCAAAGAGACAGGACCTTAAGTTTATAGAGTTTGTGGAAGTGAATTTCGCCAACAATCAGAATGCACCTGGAAGTGGTCTCGCCCCATATCTTCCAGATAAGGCATGCAAACACCTTGATTTTGAGCTCTTTCAATTCATAGCAGCAAAACCAGTTGAGCCTACCTAGGTTTTTGACCTGAAGAACTGTGAGATAATATATTTGTGCCATTTTATTCCACTAAATTTGTGGTAATTTGTTCTGACAGCAGTAGAAACTAATTTAGTACCTTACCTTTATTATCCTACCTAATCATCTCAAGTATATGAGACAAGTTTTTTCACTGGTGTTCCTTTACTGGTGAGAAAATGAGACAGAATATATATATATTTTTTGAGTTGGAGTCTCACTCCGTCACCCAGACTGGAGTGCAGTGGCCACTCCCGGCCACCATAACCTCGACATACTGGGCTTCAGCAATCCTTCCGCCTCGGCCTTCCGAGTAGCCAGAACTACAGGCGTGTGCTACCATGCCTAGCTAATTTTTGATTTATTGTAGAGATGAGGTCTTGCCAAGTTGCCAAGGCGGGTCTCGAACCCGCGGGCTCAGGCAATCCACTCACTTCAGCCTCCCAAGGCACGGGATTACAGGCTGAGCCACTGAGCCTGGCTCAGAATATTTTTTTAACTGTCCTGTGATTCATAGCAAGGAAGTCGTAGAGCTGAAATGTACTCCAGGCAGTCTGAACTCAGTCCATGCTCTTGGCCACTGAACTGCCCCCTTTATTAAATCTATGAAGCTCCCACATCCTTTCCATAATTATCTATGATCAGATTCCATTGCTTACAACCAAAGAATGGTAACCGGTACTGAAATAGGTGTCAAAGGTGAGCTGCAGGCAACAGAACTTCAGCGAAATGTGATGTGCTTAGAATTAGATATTAGATATGAGTTGAGAAAGGACTGTAATTACTATGCTACTTTTCCTCTTTTATTTTGTGATCTTTTTTTCCCCAAAATTCCTTTTCTCTCCTTAATCAGGTTATTCACAGTCAGTTCTCTCACTTGCAAAGAAATCTAATTGGTTTTGAAATTAAAGCTAGAGTTTGGTTTGTAGGCAACAACTCTCAAGGGAATGAGGATATATGGAATTAGTTATTGTGCTAAGATGAACAAAATGAAGTGAGTCGCCCATTTTTACTGTTAATGATATGAAATCACCACTCATATTAAGACCCATGATTGTCAGAGACCATGAACATTGTTCTAAGCTTCTGAATAATGTGAAGTTGCTAATGAAGAATGGCAAGACTACAGTGTCTTCTGTCTTCAAGGCAATTATTTAATTCCTGATTTTTTACCTTAAGGTGCAGAATTAACTTCAGGGCTTTTTTTCCCCATCTGCTGAAAGTATTTCTGTCATTCTATAGGGGTAAAGCACTGGCTATGCAAAACTAACCCAGAGATGGATTCAGTGACCATCAATAGTTGGGTTCATTATCATACTAAGTTGCTTATGGGAGGAATGGATGTTGGTCAGGGAATTCAACAACTGGAATAGTAACACCTTGGAGACTTTGGAAACCCTGAAGGACCATGAATCTCCAAGCCTCTGTAAAACCACTATGACTCCCTTGACTCAGCGTGCTGTCTCTCTTTGGAAGAAAGCTAGTAACTCCTCACAGTCCTATATTCCTCCATGTTGCTTGGCTGAGGTTCAGGATTCAAAAACAACGGAACCTGCATGGAGAAATCGAAATCTAAGAAGGAAAGAATTACATCTAGAAGAAATAATAGAAATAGATTAATTTTCATATCCATTAATGTAGGGAATGTTTTTGGGAATGGAAATGAATTTTATTTTTTCTCAACTAGGAGAGTAAATAATTTGTGTGTAGTGTTTTACTTTTTAAATCATTTAAAAATATCTGTATTAATTTACACTGACATCATTTTACATAAATACTTGAATGTGATCTTATCATGTAACCTGTTTTGTGATTTTGTTTGTTTGTTTGATTTTTTGGCCTGTCATCTTTTTCACATTTTCTTTTACTTATTCTTCACTCAAATGTAACCAATGTTGACTATAGTGTAGATTATTTTTCTGGATTTACATATGAGAGGGGGGACCCAAAGCCCTCCAGAATTATTTATAAAAAATTGTATATTTATTCTTGTATGTTTAAACTTAAGTTACCTTCAAAGTATTCTTCATTTGGCGCATACAGCTATCAAGATTTTTTTCCCCAATGCTCAGAACAGTTTTTGAACTCATCAATTTTGATGCCTTTTAGTGCTTCTCCTGTTTTTTTGTTCACCTCTTCCACATTGGCAAAATGTTTCCCCTGAGAACATTTTTCATCTGGGGAAACAAAAAAAAGTCACTAGGTTTGAGATCAGGTAGATAGGGAGGGTGGGACACAGGAGCCATACTGGCTTTGGTCAAAAACTGCTGAACACTCAGTGTGGTGTGGGTAGGTGTGCTGTCATGGTGTAAGAACCAGTCACCTATTGGCCACAACTCGGGACACTCATACAACACAGCCTCTCAGAACAACACTAGCTGGTACATTGATGCTGATGGGTTCCCAGAACATTTACCTGGGGGAAAAACTTGTACTACAAGGAGACTGCCCTCCAAAAAAAAAATAATTCTGGGTTTCTTTGGGTGCCCCTTCATATATATGTTCAAATAATTATTCATATATGCATACATATGGTGGCTTTGCCAGCTCTGTTTTAAAATCTGCATAATACACATTTCTCTATGGTTTGCTTTTTTTATTCATTAATAATTATTACTGAGACGGGAACAAGATGGCGACAGCATAGGTGAACTTCTCCAAACGTGAGTTCCCAAAAAGACTTTTACTTCTCTTCCCCCATCCTCCAGCCCACCACCAGCCCCGCTGGTGCGAGGCCCGGGGACCTTTGGTCCCACGCAGGGCCAGATATTGTGGCACCCTGCTGCTGCTGTTCCACTGCGTGCGTGGGAGTCTCGAGTCCCAGCCCCCTCCCAGCTTCCTCCCTGGCTACATCATCTCCAGCCTGGTACCTGGCACCAAGCCGCCGGTCACTCAGGGAGGCTCTGGGTGCCCGCCCCTCAGAGACACCGGCCCCATTCCTGGCTGAAGTACCCTGTGGGGGCCCAGGGCCACTCTCACCACTCAATACCTGCCCTTTGGAACTTTGGAGCTCTGGAACTCTGGGTCCACCCTGGCTGAGGCATTCAGCATGAGACCTCAAGCTGGGGGACCAAACAAGCGGAGAAAAACAGATCTGCATAAACTGCCTCACCATTCTCCAGGCAGAGACTTCCATTGCTCTGCCCACCTATCAACAAACTTTGCCTCAGTTCCTAAGGCAATGGCATGAAACAGGAGACAAAGCCCCACCCCTATGCTGCAATGAAAAACAAAGGGGAGAGGCTGGAATCGGAGATCAGAGAAGTTACTTTAGTCTGATCACTTATTTTGACTTATGATTTTATCATTGTAACTGTTGGTTTTGATCACGTTTGTTGTTTGCCTTCTGACTTACACTGCTTCTTGATTTTATTGGACTGTCTCTGTAGCTATCAGTACTCTTTAGGGAATCTTTCTTATGTGTCTTTCTTCACTTTTTCCTGGGCTTGTGTCTCTTTCTCATCTGATAGTTGGTATGTATATCTGTTTTCCCTCTCGCTCTTCTCTCTTTCTAACTCCCTATTGACCCCCC